TTTTTCCTGCCCTCTGAGCCGTTTGATGTCTGTCCTTTTATTTATTTAAGCACAGTGCCCTCCTTGTGAAAATTAAGCACATGGATTTTCATGTGCTCCAGGCTTTTCTCCTTGCTTACCATAGTTTCTGGAATATCGTCAGCCCTCGATTTGGGTAGATTAATGCATTTCTTGGTTCTTAAAATGGTCAGAACAACTCATTCCATGGCCAGCCTATCACTCTCTGGATCAGTATTCCTGATAAATTCTAGAACAATTGTCCAGACTCAACCAAGCACAGCTCAGACCCTCTCTTGGGGCTACCTTCATGGAGGCTGATGACTGTCCTCAAGTCTGGGATAATTTCAGTCACTTCCCTTTCTGACTGGATCCCAGTCTTGGAGATGCCCCCTCTCGGCGCCAGCCCCAGTGAAGGGAGGCTGTAGCTCCATCCTACACCATTCAGGAGACAGGGTTGGGCCTCTGCTTTCTGAGTTTCCTTCCATTTAGGAGGGACCAAGGAGCTGGCGGTCCACAAAAGGGAGGGAGAGAAGGCTAGAGCAGCTGAGGCTCAACTTGATGGGGCCTTCAGAGTGGGCTCCATGAATGATCAGGTTGAACCGTAGCAGGGGAGAGGCTGGGGGATGAACAAACGGCCAGAAAACCTCAGGGTGGACAGGCAGAGGGGAGAGATCTCCGCCCCTTTGGGGAGGCAGAGATCACATGGCAAGGAAGAGATGAAGACAGAGTCAGAGACAAACGGCCAGTGGGTCCCTGCAGACAGTGACAGAGGAAGACGCGACAGCCCCAGCGGGCCGGCTGCTGAATCGCCCTCTGTTCTGGCGGGCACTGAGGGGCTTTCTTCCCAGGCCGTGGGAAAGTGGTGGGCGAGCGTGCGCACCCGACCCGCCATGTGGACGGTAATTAGCCGGATTAGGGCGGGAGCTGCACAGCCCGGTGGGCAGGGCCCGGGAACAAAAGGTCCCTCTTTGCCCCAGGGTCGTGAGGTCACCGGGCAGGGTCCCCCCCAGAAGCCGGCCAGGAGATGCGCCCTAGAGAATATGGTTTCTGTGCACCTGGCTCAGGCTGGCAGAGGACAGGGCGCTGAATCATTTTAGTAATAGATAATAACATTTGTTGAGCACTTATGGTGGACCAGCTGTAATGTCTACCCAGCCCAAGAGTATTATCTCATTTAATCCTCAAAAAGACCTGCACAATGAATCCTGTAATGGGGGGGGGGGAAGCAAAGATTTCGACTAGCATAAGGAAAATTGGTTGGGTGCACATCCACACCTAATGGTGGACATTCAATCCTTGTGGGATGGATAGAGGAAGGAAGGAAGGAATGATCAGGTGGGCAGTTTCTGCAAGTCAGAGAACCTTTGGCTTTTCCCCTGTGGCTACCCACACCGATGGGAAGTTGAGGCAGTAGGAGCTCCCAACATGTCCACGGAGTGCCACTTCCTTCAGGGAAGCCTCACTGAGAGACCCACACAGAACCAAGTCAGTACCTTCACCACCACCTGGGCAGTGCAGGAGCTGGACGCCCATAAACTTGACCATGTTTCTTTTCCAGTGGTCTAGTAGAACTGCATCTTAGGTGCTGTATGTCTGCAGCCCTGCCTGTCTTCAAAACACAGGGCAGTGGGAAGGGCCAATGGCATCCTACATAGACAGAGAGAAAAAGAGCAAGGGCCCTTGCCACTTGACTTCTCCAAATACTCTAGCAGGTCAGAGGTGGTCTGATTTTCAGTGAAGAACACACTGGAGTATGGGTGCTTTGCCCCCAGATGACCAAGCAACTCTCTTCTTAGGAGATGTCGGCAGGGACCACATACTCCTGTCTACAATGGCATGGTAGAGGTGGGAGATGGACCTAGTGTGGGGTTTGGGGGAAGGTAGGGGAGTGTGGCAAAAGCTCTTGTACACTGGCAGTCTCTGCTCCCTCTATATGGGTCAAACTAGCCAGGCCTGAGCTTTCTACAGAAAGAAGAAACCTGACATTTTGGATGGAATTTCCAAGTGTAAAAAGAAGGAAAGTATAGGCTGCACTGACACAGAGAAGGTCCACATTCAGCCTGTAGGTTGGCAATATCTAGCCTATTTCCCATACTCTGAGAATGTCCAGGCCCTCCCCACTAAATCTCTCTTCTCCTAGCTTCTCCAAGTCCTAAGTGACAGTAGGGTTAGGAGTAAGTGATGCTGGATGCCCAGCCTCTACCAGGATGTCCATGCCCTGCTCTTGGCTGGGCCCATTCAGGGGATACTGCACTAGCCGTGTATACTCAGCTGGAGGAGGCTCAAGCTAGAGGGGTCCCAGATCCCTGGGATGTTAGTGAACAAGGTCATGGCCAAAAGACAGCAACTGTCAACCCAGTTTGGCTGAAGGAAATCATGAAGGTTTTCTCCTGGGATAACAGTACATATATGTGAAAGGCTCAGACACAGGACAGTTCTGCTTCTCCTGTTCTTCCTCATACTCTATCAGCCTTCAATCTTACAGGCTTCTTGGCAGATAATGTTAAACGTTATCCTACTCCTTTTTTTTTTTTTAGAAAAACTAAGGTACAAGAGAGTGAGGGACTGAGCGTCCATGGCTCACTCCTGTAATCCTACTTACTCAGGAGGCTGAGATCTGAGGATCATGGTTCAAGGCCAGTCTGGGCAGGAAAGTCCATGAGACTCTTATCTCCAATAAACTACACAGAAAAAGCCATAAGTGGAGCTATAGCTCAAGTGGTAGAATGCTAGCCTGAGCAAAACAGCTAAGGCACAGCACCCAGGCCCAGAGTTCAAGCCCCAGGACCAGCAAATAAATAAATAAATAAATTTAATAAAAAGAGAGCAAGGGAAAGGGTGTTATTGTCCAAAAATAATTGTACTCTTTACTTGACTTATATAACTGTATCCCCTCTGTACACCACCTATATAATACGTAGCAATGAAAAATGTTTTTTAAAAACTAAGGACAGGAGTATAGATGGTTCCTCCACAACTTATGATGGTTTGATTGATGCTTTTTCCATTGTACCATGTGCAAAAGTGATATACTTTTTAAAAAACAAAACAAAACAAAACACCTCTATTTTGAGAGGTTTTGCTGAATGTAGATCTTTTCCTGGGCTAATGATAGGCTGAACGATGTGTCACTCAAGGCTAAGCAGTGACCGGGAGCTGCAACTCTCTAGGGGTCTGCCATGTGATCACGTGAGGGGAGCAACTGTTATTCTTTCCACATGCTCTGAGTTGCAACTCTGGAATATTCAGAAGGTTAGGTGTCATAGAGGCTTTCCAATTTGCAGTATTTTCACTTTGTCATAGTTTTATCAGGATTGGGACTCCATTGAAGGCAGAGGAGCTTTTCCGTGTTTTTCTGAATGAGGTTTCTGGAGATTTAGCTTGAGGGAGCTCCAAGTTTGCGATTTGTTTGGAAAGTGGTGTTTTCGTAAAAGTTGATGTGTGTCTGTTGTACTCAATGCTGTAATATGAACGTGGCCATTCCAACAGAAACAGGAGGGCAGTGTTCCTCCCATGGTCTGGGAAACCTGATACTTGTGGAATGAGCCACATTTGTCCAGTGGGATCTCAGACTCCCAGTACTTCATTGTGAACCCACAGCAGTTCACAGCCATAGGAAAGAAGCCCAGGTGGAGGATCCCATCCCCCAAAGTCAGCTCATGGCAAAATGGACCATTCCCAGGGGCTCTTACTTTCTGGGGCGGCAGAAATCGATGGTGGCTCTGTTGCTTGTCATGGCTGGCCTTAGGCTTCTCCACTTCTTGGAAAACGTGGGCGATGGCCTCTTGTGCCAGGTACAGGTGTAGCTTATTCATCAGGATATCGTCCTGTTGTTTCCTCCTTCAGCTACCTCCATGCTATCCCTTGTTTCACATGCAAACGCCCATCATCCCCTAATATAGCTGCCTCCTCTCCCTCCTGAGAGGGACAGATGTGAGAGACAAAGAGCGCCCAGTTGCTCAGCCTAGCTGAGTGTTGTGGGCCAGTGGCTAGGAGGTTATGGTAAACTGAAAGGCATCAGGACCCCCTCTCCTCTGTCCCTGAAAAGAGCAGGACTCAGGAAGGCAAAGGCCAAAGGGTGAGCAGCCACAGAAAGGGAGAAGTTTGTTCTAGGACCACTGATGAGGCATGACAGCTCAGCTGAAAATCAGTGACAGAGTCTGTGAGCCAGAAAAGCAGGGGGCACATGGACACTGCACCCCAGCAGCTGGCAGAACATTGGGGATCTTTGCCTCTTTGTGCAGAGGGGGCAGAACTTGAGCTTGAACTCAGAGCCTGTGAGCACTATCTTTTAGCCTTTTTGCTCAAGGCTGGTATTCTACCACTTGAGCCACAGCTCCACTTCCAGCTTTTTGGTGATTAATTGGAGATACGAATTTCATGGACTTTCCTACCAGGGCTCACTTTGAACCATAATTCTCACATCTCCGCTAACCAGGATTTTAAGTGTGAACCACTTAACATCTGGTGACTTTTTGCCTCTTTTCCAAGACATCTCCCTTCTCCCCTTCCATACAATCAGTGGTGGAACAGAGACAGACAGCCCAGATCTCTAGGCATGGTAAATTCCTGCCTACCCCCACTCCACTAGGGCAGAGACAGGTTGGCAAGGGGTGGGAGGCAGGCAGAATTACTCCAGAGAAAGCCAAGTTTTGGGCCAAAAAGCCCTTAGAGAAATGTGGGAAATATATGGAACTATTCAACCCCTGATCAGATTTCTGAGAGTTCCTCTTCTTGTTCCCCAATTCACACACAACTAGATCAAGACTCAAGTCCTTCCCACCCCCAGTGCAGCTCTTTCTACCAGCAAGCAGGAGACATTTCATTCCAAAGCCTGTCACTGATCACACTGTCCCCTTTCCCAACCTCCAGCCTTAAGAAAAACCAAATCCTCAGGGTGGCTCTCTTCCAGCACTCTCCACCCACACCCCAACTGCAGGGTCATTAGCATATGCAGCAGTCTCTTGGTTTAGAGATTGTCAAATCCAGAACACCCAGGCAGAAATCTGCTCTATTCCTCTGTGGATGTGATATCACCCTTTGGGACATGCATCTGAAAAGACAAAATGAAGATTGCAATGAGTTCAAAGTCTGACCCAGGTGGCCTGTGTGTCCTGCCGACAGGATGAGGAGGACACTGGAATGGTCAGTTCCCATGGCTGGATTCCAGCAAGCCTTTGAAACCACCCATTGCAATGGAGACCTGGAGAATGGCCTGATCTCCATGAAAGGACTCACGACTGACTCCTCTGGGACAGTTGTCAAGAGCCCTGGATAAGCTGCGGCTTGATGGCTCACACCTGACATTCTAGCACTTAGGGTGCCAAAGGAAAAAAGGATCACGAATTCCAAGCTAGTCTGCGTCATAGAGCCAGACACTGTCTGAAAAAAAAAAAAAAAGACCCCTGGCAGCCTGGAAAGACCTGCTTACCTGGCCTTGGTCACGCGGTCCCATGGACAAGATGATCATGGACCTGGGTGAAGATGCAGGCAGTTAACTTCTCAAATTTGCAGATCACCAATACTGAGAAAAAGTGAGAAATGCATTGAGTAATAAACTTCAGTCCAACAGGTTTGGTGGGCCTCATCTTGAAGGAGAGGAATTTGAAAAGGGTCAATGTAACAATCTGCTCAGGCCATCCAAGATATCTTCCTCCATACACGTGAAAAGCCAAAAATCCCAAAACAATCCTAGGGATTCTGCCTGGCGCCAGTCAACTGTTCAGATTGCATAGAACAGGATGCAATCTTAGGGCATTTAGGGAGGTCTGGCTTTGTGTTGATTTCTTGTTGGTCCTCTAAAAGCCCACAATGAAAACCTTTGGGACTTGTTAAAAATGTGAGCTTCTGGGCTCTACCCAGCTTGTGCAATGAAACTAGACCTGTGGCCCTGTAATGTACATTTCCAATAGCATCCAGGGTGATTTGAGAAAACATCTTCAGCTCATCCTGCCACACTGGCTCGCTTGTCAGAGGGCTCCTGCCCAGCAAAACTCCCCCTTTCTGCTGGAAATTCCCCTCTCCAAGCTTCGCTCCCTCAGGTTAGGCCCTTGCCTTTACAAACGACCTTGTCAGCGAAGATTTTGGAAGATGAAGACAAGCTGGCTTGTAGCAAAGTTGTGGTGGGGGCACTGGGTGGAGACACAGGCTGAACTTCCCAGACAAAGAACAAGGCTTAATCATATGGCCCAAGGGCCATGATCCAGCTCTGCCTGAAGCCGTGGAGAGACTGAGAAATAAACCATTTGTTCCATCCGGGCGTGGGAAGAACTTGGGTTGGAGAGGCAGCCTGACCTGCGTGTAAATCTGGCGCAGGCCCTTACCAGCTGCACGACCCTGAACATGGACTTCAACTTCAGTGTTGCTGAGGGCTCAGCTCCCCCTCCTCAGAGACAAACACACATTCCTCACCCAGCTGTTGTAAGGAGTCGATTAAATAATATAAGGAAAGCATTGGCATACAGTAGATGTTCCGTGTTGCTTGTGGAATTCATGAATGGATAGTAGATGGATGGATGGATAGATGGATAGATGGATAGATGGATGGGTGAATGGATGAATGGATGTATGGATGGGTGGATGGATGAATGGATGGACAGCCTTGGTAGAATCTTCTTTCTTTCTTACAATTGCCTTTGTATTAATTGGTCCCACCCTAGTATAATTCTCTGATATCTCACAGATGGTTCTACTTGGGGTCAATATCATGTTTCTAGAAAAGGCTCCCCTCCTTTCCCCCTCCCTTTTCTCTGCATGCCCCTCTCCCAGCTTCCATCTAGATTCCAGGCAGTCCCTCTAGCACTGGATCTTGAACACAAAACAAGTATTTTTTTTTCTTGGTCATGGGGGCCTGAACTCTGGGCCTGGGCGCTGTCCCTCAGCTCTTCAGCTCAAGGCTAGCGCTCTACCACTTGAGCCACAGTGCCACTTCTGGCTTTT